TAATTTTCTGATCTCTTCCTGCTTCATTCTGAGCCTTTGTAGAAGGTCCCGGTTGGCCTGACGCAGCCTCTTCAGGTGCTCTAACTCCATCCTATGAAAACATTTTCCTGTAAAGCCAGAGGAAGGGTGAACTACATAAATGGAAGCATTAAGTGAAGCAGCAGACTCAGGAGAAGCCACTTTCAGGGGATTTTTCATAAAAACCACTTACAGCTGTTGGAACGTCGGGAGTGCTGATCATTGTGCCTGAGAAATCAGCCAGTCTCAAAACTCTTTACGCTAAGAACTAGCACCACTGCATACTTCTCTCCCCTCAGATGTACTGTCAAATATTTTGCACCCAGAAACTGGTAGCTGACTGAATAGAGACAAGACACTCTTACAGAGGAAACAGTAAACGTGAAAAAAGTCACATCAAAAAGCCAAATAAGAGACATTTGATTCAGAGGCTGATATTTAAGACAGCCTTATTTAATTCTGCTTTAATGTTCTTTTTAAGCGTCAAAATTTATGTTGTGATAATACCAGGATGCTCATAAGTTCAAAATACGAATAATGAATATGAATGTATTTACTACATCCAAAAGAAATATTGGGTCAAAACTGTCCTGTTCCCCAGGCAGGAAGACTCCAAGAGGCTCAATGACTCAGGACTAGGGCTCAGACAATTCCAATCCCACACATTAATCGCTAAAGGTTACTGCCCTTTTATTAGAAGAGGAGACAAAAAAGGAGCTAATAAATAAATAAATAAATAGATAAATAAAGGTTGTCACACTGTTCAACATGTTTACAACACCACAAGCTCCTCTAAATTTCCAGAAAGTGGTTTGTTAGGTTTTTTTTTTAATAAAACGAAACTCTAAACCCGAACCCCACATTGCTTTTGGCTAGAGTGATCAATTATGTTCTCGAGTAAAACTATGTGCTTCTCTAGGACCTTTTATTCTGAAGGATCCCTAAACCCTTTTCCAAGGCTCATCTGACTTGTTTGTGCATCTGCTACCTTGGCAACTGGACATAAGGAATCAAATGCATATGCTCTACAACAGCACTGGGAAGAACGAAGAGCAGTGCTAGCCATCAAAAAACTACAACATATCTTTTTGTTACAAGACGTGAGAGGTGCACTACTGGACATAAACCAGAAATACGTCTCAAGGCACTAAATTTTGAGATCATTTGAACAAAACAGAAGTTCTCACACTATTCACCGGACAAAGCTAACAGCATCCTCTCATCGTTGCTCATCGGAAAGCAAATACTCTGAAAATAACATCAGTCAGGGGACTTTCTGGAAGGGTTTTACCAGATGAGATCCACTCTTAGCATAAACTACAAGAAACTGTTAGTCCTTCATGCTCAACCCCAGGGGCTCAAGCTTATGAAACTGCTTTAGTCTGAATCCTTTGCGAAAAGGAGCTTAGTTTCTCGCAGTTAAAAGAATAAATAATGATAGTCTCGGGAACTAAGTACTCTCCTCTCCACAAGAAAGTTGGCTAACACCTATGCAAAAGCTTCCCTGAGCTGTTTCTGCGCATACACGATGGTTCGGCTCTCCCATGCCCATGAGGAAGGGGAGACGGCCCTGGGCATCGTAAAATTCCCCTTCCCTCTTCAAGAGTCGAGCCTGGCAGCCGACAGAGAACCGGTAAATCCTCCCTCCGGCGTACAGTGTGGGGAGCCTGCGAGTCTCGCCAGGCCAAGCGGTTCCAGGGCTGCGGACGTTCGAACTCCCCACGCTCCCG